CCAGGGAGATGGCTCAGTAGAATAAACATTTGCCTGGTAAGTGCAAGGGCCTGAGTTCAATCCCTGATTCTGCCAGAGAGAGAGAGAGAGAGAGAGAGAGAGAGAGAGAGAGAGAGAGAGAGAGAGAGAGAAGCTTGAAGAAGGAAAAAAGGATAGGGGAGAGCACACCAAGAGAAGAAGGGAGATACCAAAGTGGAGGGCAGAATGAAGAATAAGGACCAGAGATAGCGCTTTCCCAGTGATCATCCCACACCAGCCCCCTGTCTCACATGCTCCTGGAGCAGACAGCCAGATACCCCCAGGCAGTGATGATCAACTGGGAAAATAGAGCCTGCTCACCAGGCTCTCAGCAGCTTTCCCAGATTTCTTATGCCGAGGAGGAAGCGCAAGAGGAAAGAAGAGATCCCGCAATTAAGTCATGCTCCCTCTGCTTTTGCTTCCTCCTCGACTTGACGTCTTTCGTGTGATGTCACGAATCTCGCCACACACATGGTGACTCAGATCCTAAGAAGCCAGAGCTGAAGAGCCCTCCTGGACAACCAGGCCTGTGCCGTACAGTGTGGCGGGTGCTAGGCACACAGGGCTTCTGACCTTAGGCTGATCCAAACCAACCTGAGCGGTACCAATAAAATAATCACTGGGTTTTGGAGGACATGGTTTCACAAAAGAATGCAAAACAGTTCCATACTATTTAAAAATATTGATTATATATTGAAATGATTATGTTATGGCTCACTTCCAGATGTCCCCCTAAAACTGCATGTAGTCCTAGGTGGGGCTTTTTCAAAGGTGGCTGGAGCTACAGTATGGGACACCGGAATCAATTTATGGTGCAGTGCTAGGCTCAAGGGTGCTAGGATTAAGGATATAAGTGCTACCCACCCTAAATACCCTGCATAGGATATAAGGGGTAGAAAGAGCTGTGGTCACCCCTTGCTTGCTTTGCTGCCTTCTGCCAACCATGAACTCTTTCTCTTCTGTGATCCCTGCCTGCCAAGACACCCTGCCTTTGAGCCAGTCAATGATGGACAAAAACAAAACTGTGAGCTAAATAAACCTTCCCTCCCTTAACTTGTGGGTGTTGGGTATTTTGTTCCAGCAACAAGAAAAGTAACATAGGGATCTTTTGAGTTAAATGAAATACACGATTATGATATCTTGGTGTAGTGGCACAAGCCTATAATTCCAGCAGTCTGGGGTGCTGAGGCAGGAGGATCATAACTTCAAGCCCAGCCTGGATAACTTAGGGGGAATTAGTGAGACTCTGTCTCAAAATAAAATAGAATAAAGGACTGGAGGTATAGCTCAGTAGGAATGTCCTGGTTTAATCCTCAGTACTGCCACCTCCACGGAACCCAGGGCCTTTGCAAAGTCACTAAATTGTCCAGCTGGGCTCCATCTTTCTATCTTCCTGCCTTAGCATCCAAGGGTGTTGACATTATAGGCTTGCACTATCACACCTAGCTTGTTCTTGTTTCTTTTAATGTGGCTGTTAGAAAATGTGACGTGTATGTGGCTTGCATTTGTGGCTTGATTATTGTCCTTGTGTGCAGTGGTGGTGTAGTTCAACCTCCTTTAGTAGATGAGAACGTTGAGGTCCAGAGTAACCAAAAGCTCCCTTGTTTTGCTATACCCCCCTCCTGGCTCACGCCCTTGGGATCCCCGGAGTGGAGCAGGTGGGCTTGGAGCTCCCTGGCCTGCAGGCCTCAAGGGAGATGTTCAAGCCTCACAGTATTGGCTGTGGTTTCTTTGGAGTGTAATAAAAACCTAGCATAGGTGGAGATGTGGTTTCCAAAGAGTCACATTGCTAAAAATGTGTTGGTGCTGGAGATAGAACTCAGAGCCTTGCATGTGCGTGGGTGAGGGTTCATGTTTCACCAGTGCTTTAGACTCAGGAAAATCTTTGTAGCCCTGGACCTTATTTTTACGGTGCAGAGACGCAGGTTAGTGGAGCAGGTGTGCTGCAGGTTAATGGGGTAGGTGTGCTGAGCACCACCTTCAGGTCACGGGTTCCCCTCCTTCCCACAAGGCAGAAGGGTAAATCCTAGCCGGGCCCTGACACCTGGGAACAGCTACTTCAGGGTTTGTTGGACTTTGTTGGATGAGTAAACAGAAGCGAGTTTTAGAGAACTGGCCTGATATCCCGGGAGGAGTGGACCCGGAGGGAGGCAGGGGGAGCCAGACACCAAAGGTAAGTTCCTTTATTTCATAATTTTATCCGGGCTGTTCCCATTAGCCTGCATTGTCAAGCCCTAGGGGAAACAGGAGCGCAGAGATTGAGACTGCCTTTGGGACCAGTGGCCTTGCTGAGATCGCTCTGGAGCAGGCCGGGAACTGGTCCTTGGCTTTTACCTGGCTCTGGCTGGGGCGCAGGTGGTCACCTATTTTATTTTCCCACTCCGCTCCGGGAGCGACGGGCAGGAAGCGGAACGAGGAGAGACCCTGTCCTGTCCCCTGGAGACGGGCAAAGCAGCCGCTAGGATCTAGCTGGCTCTTTCAAGCTCTCGGGACGGGAGCGCGGGTGGGGAGGGAGGGCGGGCGTGGCTTCCCCAGCAGGTGACAGCCCGCAGGGCCCGGAGGAGCGGGTCCCCGGGGGCCCTGCCTGCCCTGAGCTCTGGACCCGCTCTGTTTTGACTGTGCTTCTGACGTCAGAGGTTTTGGTTCGTTCCCTGCACGGTGACTTTATTTTCATAACAGCACGAAGTGCCTGGAACTGGAATAGGCGTGTCTTCTCTCCGACCCTCCCCGCCCCTTGTCCCCGCACTCACCCGCGCCTCCCTCCGGCCAAGACCGCCTTTATAACTGCGCTGCGCGGCGGGCGCTGGATCCGAGGTGGCTGGATCTAGACGGAGACGCAGCCTCGGGACGCCCCCAGCACCGCGGGCCGGGACTCCAGTCTACGCGCGCGAGGCAGCGCCAAGTTCACCGCGAAAGCCGAAAGCCGGCACACAAGGGTAAGTGGGGCGCGAGGACTCGAGCGTCCCGGGCCTCCAGATGGGACCCCTTGAGGGACGTGGCGCTCGGGGGCGGTGGGGCAAGAGGGGCCGAAATCCGGGAGAGAGCGGGCAACGAGAAAACACGCGCGCACAAGTCCAGCTCTCGTAGTTTAACCCAACGCAGAATTTGTTTTCTAGGCTTTCCGGGGCTAAAATCCTGACAGAAAGTAAGGAGATCGCCGGGGTTAGTTTCTACCCAGATCCATCCTGCAAACTTAGTGGGTGGAATCCTGGCGAGGCAGTAGATCAGTTCGGAGATCTTTTTAGGGGAAGAGAAGAAAGGGAGAAAGATCCTAGAGGATGGGGAGGGATTGGATGTGGAGAGGGGCTAGGAGAAGTGGTGATGGTGGGGACAGGTGGAAGGAGTTGGTGACAGACGCTGCTGTACTGAGAGGGAAAGGTTTCCTCTTAAGTGTTCCTTGCCCAAAAGCGTGCTCTTCTGAAGTTGGAGGAGTAGACCTAGAAGCCACTGCTTTGCTCTGTAAGTAAGGTGGTGAGTGCTGCCACACCCCTCTCCCTGCCCCTGCTCGGGAGCAGGTGGAGGCTGAAGGTTCAGGGTCATCGCACCTTTCGCCAAGAGCGAGGGAGCACTTGGGAATGACCTTAGTGCCAAAGATGGTTCTGCCAGTACCCTCAAGACTGCCAGTCTTGCTTTGGGTCAAGGAATCGGAGGCCTCTCCTGGCTTCTGCGCAGGCCAGGGTTCTGCTCGGTGGGTTTGCTCCCCAGCACACCTGTGGGAGGGCTTGTCAGCCTCTGCGGTGAGGGGAGGAGGCCTAAGGGGAATTCTTTAGCCACTTCAGATACAAGGGCCAGCAGCTTGTAGGAGGGTGTGGGTGAGGGAAGGAATGAGAGGGAGGAAGGGTGGAAAGGCCATACCCGAGAGCCCTACCTGAGAGCGGGAGTGACTCCTTCAAGGGTATGGAGAGGGCAGGGCTCACACGGAAAGCAGTGAGCTGAACAGTGCCGCCACCTAAGAGGAGTTCCCAACATGGAGTCTGGGAGCCTGCTTTGTTTTCTGTGGGTGCAGGTTCATGTCTTCAGGCAAAGGCCTAGGTCTTGGCTCCTTATAAAGAGAAGTGGGGGAGATTTCAAGCTCCTTTCCTGTATTAACATTTGGCTCCTGTATATCTGCATGTGTGGCCTTTGGAATTTTATTTATTTATGGTGTGTGTGTGTGTGTGTGTGTGTGTGTGTGTGTGTATTTTGAGACAAGGTCTCACCATGCAGTTCCAGCTGGCCTTGTGCTCTCTTTTGTAGCCTCCCAGGCTGGTTTTGAGCTAGCAGAGATCTTCTTGTCTCAACCTCCGGAGTCCTGGGATTACAGGCGTGCACCACCGTGCCTGGTTAGTTTTTGTTTTTGAGACAAGATTTCACTATGTAGTTCAGGCTGGGTTTGAACTCATTGTGTAGGGTAGGCCTTGAACTTGAAATCTTCCTGTTTTAGCCTCCCTAATGCTGGGCTTACAAGCTTGTGTCATCATACCTGGGGTGGGAGTCTTCTTTATTTTAGGTTTTTGTTTGTTTGTTTTTGTCTTTTTGAGACAGGGTCTTGCTGTGCAGTTCAGGCTGGCCTTGAGCGCACCTTGTAGTCCAAGCTGGTCTCAAACTCACAATGATCCACTTGCCTCAGCCTCCTGAGTGCTGGGATTGCGGGTGTGCTCCACCATGTCTGTCAGGAATCTTTTTCAGAAACTACTTTTTAAATATTCTATCTCTCAGTGGCAACATAAAATTTACAAAGAGTACAGAAGAGTTTTGACTGTGTGGTTTTTAAATTTTTAAAAATTCTGGACCCAGGGGCCGGGGAAATGGCTCAGTGGAATAAGCACTTCCCTGGCAAGCGCAAGGGTCTGAGTTCAATCCCCGGTTAAATTTTTGGTCAACATCCCATGACCACTTACACAGAAGCAATTGTATGAGGCAGGGGGTGACACACTATGGTCAGTGGACAAATATAGCCCATGTTCTCTTTCTGTAAATCAGGTTTTATGGGAGCTCATGAGCACTCATTTACTTGCTTGTGTGCTAGGAAGGTGTGGGGTACGGAGCCTGCTCGTTGGGTCTTTGTAGAGCACGTGCTTGCTAACCCCTGAAACAGAGACTCTGAATTCTAGGATTTTGTTGTTGCATTTTGAGACAGGATCTCACTATGCAATTCAAGTTGGCCTTGAAGTCACTGTGTAGCCCAGGCTGGCCCAAACTCACAGCGATTCTTCTGCATCAGCCTCCTGAGTCCTTGGATTATAGGCGTGCACCACCATCACTGACTGAAGTATATGAGTATTCATAGATAGCTAAAAAGCTATGATGATAGAGAATATTTCCCTTAGAATGACCATAAAGCATTTATAAAAATTTACTGTAGTATTCATTTTGTGTATCTCATCTGACAAAGACTGATAAGTATTTAAACACTCCTTCTAGAAATAGTATTTCTTTTGGTTACTCCTATATTGATAGTTTCTGTTTTAAATATTTTGGTGCTATATTGTTTGGTGCATGAAAGTTAACAGCGGTTTTATCTTTGTGGACTATTTCTATTCACGAAGCAAGCTTACAACTTGGTGTGTTACTGAAATCTCAAGTCCTGCTTAATTCATTTATTTTCTGCAAGCTATTTACTTTTGTGCCTGTCTGTTGGAGAAACAGAGCTAAAAATGAGTATTCTTTCTTTTGTGTTTATTTTTGTCTTTCATATATTACAGTCTTGCTCAATTCCTTTGTTTTAGGTGAAGTTCTTAGGGACGGAATGGTTTCATTTAATGTCTTAAAAATAAAAGTTATCATTTATATTTATCACAACAGTAGTTGTTTGCTGTTGTCATCTAATCTCATTCTATACGATCTTCTTTTCCCCACTTCTTTTGCATTAGCCAATATAGTATTTTTAAATCCACTAGGTAAGTAAGTAGATAGTAATGCCATTCTCAGTACTTAGAAATACAAGAGTTTAGGGAGAGATGATACGTTTAAATGTGGACTTGTTGAATCTAATGTAAATGTATTGTCATTAATTTTTTTTTAAAAAATTTCATGATCCGGGGGACAACCGCTCGGGGTCCCCCTCCTGTCCGCCTCTCGGGCGGAAGCTTTCTTTCCCTCCAATAAATATATTCTGTTAAAAAAAATTCATGATTCTTGAAGAGATTTGGCATGTGTTCAGCACACTTCATAACCTCCCTCCTTTAATTTCATTTCCCTCCCACTCTCCTCTGTCCCCTCTTCAAGATTCCCTCATATTTTGAGCAATTTTTTTTTTTTTTTTTGTGGTATCGGGGATTGCACTCAAGACCCTGTGTTTGACAGGCAGGAGCTTATTCTACAGAGCTATCTCCTTGGCCCCAAAACTTAAGAAGGTTGCTTTATTTTTTTATTTTTTATTTTTGATTTGCTCAGGCTGCCTTAAGGGCTGCTGTAGTGCAGAATGTGGAGCTGGGGATTGAACTGTGGTCCCTGTGCCTTATCTGAATTTGCCCAAGCAAGTGCTTTAAACAACTGAGCTAAACAGCAAGCTTCTTCCTTCATATTTTTTTTTTTTTTTTTTTTTTAAAACCGGGGATTGAACTCAGGTCCTTGCGCTTGCAAGGGAAGCACTTACTCCACTGAACCATCTCCCCGGTCCCCTCCTTCATATTTTGAAATAAGTATTTAAATGAGGGATCTTGCAGTGTTTTCAGATTTTTTTTTTTCAGAACTTGGGATTGAACTCAGGTCCTTGCACTTGCCAGGGAAGCGCTTATTCTACTGAGCCATCTCCCTGGCCCCGCTTTCAGATATTTTGTAGATTACTTCATTTCTTCCTGTATTCGCTGGGAATTTCATGTCTCAGAAGTCTAGCTGTAAGAGATCTGGAAGCTTCATTCAAACTCTTAAGTTTAAAAATGATTTCCAATATTTTATTTTATATTCACATTACTTTAAAGTGTACCCACCCTATTCAGAATGAAAGGAGGAGATAATAGTTCCACAGAACTGCCTGAAAGTCCAGAAAATGGAATGAACATAGTCTTTGCACTTGTTTGGAGCTGTCCACAGTGCTATGGTGGTTTATTTCCTCTCAGTAACTATGGAAACTCAATTCACTGGTGCTAGTCATATGTTAGTCATCTGATGTTGTCATGAAACATCAGTTTTATGTCATCAGATTTGGGTGGCCACTCAGAGCAGGGGGTATGAGTGGTTTCCCTATGGATATTTTGTCTGTATAACTAATCCTTTCTGAAGGGCACAGAAACTTCTGTGGGGTGCCTCCTTTGAAAGAACTTAGCCTGCACAAAAATATGCAGCTTAGCATCAACACATATTCATCCTCCAAGGTTTTTCCTCGCCATTACTCACACTTGCTGTTATGGTTTCTGTCTAGATCCTGCATCCCCCGCCCCAGGCATCATACAGTCATAGGCGGGGCTTTTTTCCAAGGTAGCTAGATATAGAATGTCTGATGCTGGAACTGATTCATGGTGCAATACTAAGATTAAGAGTACTAGGATCAAGGGTGTGTGTGATAGCCACCCAAAAGTAGCATGGATAAGACAGAAGGGACAGAGCTGAGGTTGTCCCTTGCTCTCTTTTGCTGTTTTCTTCCTGCAGTGAATTGTCTTTCCTCAACAGTGTCCCTCTGCCATGTGCCATTCTATCTTGGAGCCAGGAAAATATGGACTGACATCTCTACAAACTGTAAACTAGATAAACCTTTCCTCCCGTAACTTATGGATGTTGGATATTTTGTCTCGGCAATGACCAAAGTAACTAAAATAGAATTTGGTATCAGAGAAGTGGAGTTGTTGCTGGGATTGTACCTGAAGATGTGGTTTAAGAGTCTTTGGAGTGGGTTGTGGGAAGGGGAAGAGTTAGGAAAGATTTGAAGAGGCTGGGTGAAAAAGGAGAGCTGAAAGTCCTGCAGCTGTACTTGGTGGGAGGTCCTGGACAGACCTCAGAAGATTACAATGCTGATCAA